ATTATGTATTTGCTGCAAATTCTACATTTTTATAGTATTTTTAACAATGCGAGTTCCCAATATAGCACCGATAGATTGCAAAACATTACAACAATCTTTCACCGCAATATTGCAATATTGCAAATTCACTGCAAAATGTTACTACATCATTGCTGTTGAATTGCAGCAATGTTAAAATGTCCGCTTTTGGAAGAATGCAACAAATATTACAACAATATTGCAATATGTTATGAGTTTGCAATAATACATTGTTATTCAGCAACCATAAACTAATGTTGCATAACAGATATATAAATGTAAAATAAATCATTATGAAAATAATTGTAGTTAATTTATATATATTACAATATATAAATTATAGAATTTGGATTACATGCAATATTTCCGAAAATTAATGTCATGTTGCTACAAGTGTACTGGAATTTTGTGCACTTATATCTCCAATGTCTTTATAATGTTGCATTGCAACTTGCAACATTGCAACGTTGCTGCAATATAATTGCAATAATCTGTGCTGTATGGGTTATAATAAGAATTAACTAAATGTTGCGTTCCAGTCACATAAATGAATCTTGATCAAAAGTATTCGTATTATTCATATATTTTTATATATTAATAATATCCAGCCAACAAACCCTACAGCATGGAATATTTCTGAATGTTCTATGAATATTCTTTGGAATATTCGTGAATATCTTTTGAATGTTCTATGAATGTGCAAGGAATGTGCGATGTCCCGCTTTGAATGTTCCTAGAAATTTCTATAATTATTCTTGAATAATCCTACAAATGTTTTATAAATATTCCCGAATATTTTATATTTTTTTAAAATATTTCGGAATATTCATACAACATTATAGATATTTGTAGAAACATTCGAAACGGAACCTCATATTCTATGTATATTTATAGAACGTTTATAAGATATTCGCAAATATTTTTAAAATATTCTGGGAATATAGATATTTTTCTTAATATATTCAGGAATATCACAGGACATTTATAAATTATTCGATAATATTATAAAATATTCAATGCGAGACAGTAAACGTTCTATGTACATTCTAAGAATAATTACAGATTATTCATGAATATTCTAAAAAAATATTATAGGATATTCTATGCTGTATTTATAAATATTATTATAATTTATAAATATTATTGAAGTACAGAGAGAAAAGGGGTACGTAAAATTTAATAACTGAAGTTTTAAGATTATATATATATATATCTATACACATTTATTTAAAACTATATAATCTCTCTCTTAATATTAATATTTTTTTAAAATAAAGCTTACACATATATTTCAGTTGAGATCTTCGATATATATACGAGTATTTCTTTTTCTTTTGAAATATATATATATATATATTTAAGTAAATAATATTGATATATTACTATTACATTATTTAAAAAATTTTACTGGTAATAATTGTTCTCTCATACATGTCAGAATTAATTTTATACTTAAATAAAAAACATTTCTTCAATTTTTTATCTTAAATAAAGACTATCATTATTATTATCAATTTAAAAGAAAAACGTGAATTGTTTTCCTTTAAAATTAAAAGAAAAAAAATTAAAAAAACATATATATCTTCGATTCTCCCTTACATGTCAATAATATACTTTAAGAGTTTTACTATAAGTTTTTGAATTAAACTTAAAATATTCGTATTTTTAAAGCAAAATAAAATTAATTATAATAATTATTGATAAAATCTTACTGAAGTACATTATATTTAAAAACATAAAATAATTATACTTGTTTTTTTGCACAAAAACTATCACGGTTATTAAATTTGTACTTTAGAGTAGTAGTTCTTCAAGAAACTTTTAACATTTTTAATGTTCGCTATTACACGAACGATTGGCTTCATTTTGCTGTGTTGGTTTTGTTTTTAATTTGGCTTTTACCAACCAAGTTTTAACGATGTTTATAATTTCATCATCTGTTATAATTACAGGACTTTTCCGTGTAGTAAGTCTTACGGATTCTGAAATGATAAGGAATCTTATATTTTGATTGTTTTATTTAAATACTAGCAAATTTCTTTAAAACTTTTTTTTACTGCAATTTAAACATTTCTAAACAAATAAATTTCACTAAAATGTTGAATCTGGTGTGAATTCCCAATGTATTAATTATGTATTAATTACTTTAAAACAAAAATAAAATATAACTTTCCTAAACATATCATAAAGAAATTAAAATTATATTTGTATTACTTACTTAGTATTTTATAATTATACTTTCTATTTCCATATACTGATAATATAATAAACACGTGCTGTGACTTGTGTATAACCTCTTAAATTATAGGTCTTACGAATTTATATTTAGAAATAAATTTAAATCTATAATTTATATCTAAAAATATTAAAAATTATCATGAAATTATCTACAATAAACCATATTTCTAAAAATTACTTGGTACTCATAAAATTAACGTAGATAATAGATTTTTTACGAACGATTATACATACTTTCCTTCCTTCTTCCTTCGAGATTATTAACACTGGCAAGCTCAAAGCCTGTTTATATTGACCAAAACAGTGGTGTGGTAGCAGATTCCTATGCAGTCTTAGCCTCCCAAAGAGAAATCAGAACAAAACGGGACAGAAACACATTCAGACTTGCTCACTGAACAATATACGTACGGCTCTTGATTCTTGATGCACACGCGACACGCGATGGGCGCGATGGCTGGACAGAATGCGCGCGACTGACTGAGTCGCACATGCGCAACAGTAAAAACAATTAACTAGCATATATGTGCGCAGAAAATTTGGTGGGCACAAATAATATCATTTAACTATTTCAACTGATTGATATCCATTCAACTTATTTTGAAAAGTTAAAAGTGAAGTAAAAAAGATGTATTAATAATTAATAATTATTCTCATAAAGCATAAAAACTTTAAAGAAAATTTCTTAAATATTGAAAAACTTTCAGAAAATTTTTACGAATGACCAATGACATTTTTTCGCCTGTATAGATATATTATATTTGCCTGTGTATAGATACTCCATTGAAACAATTATATTTACTTCTAAATATTTTTATATATTAATGTTGATTTCTATATACAGCATATATACAGCACAGAATTATCTGTGAATGTGCTATAAACATTGAATAAGTATCCTAATATTCCATGGGTCATTCAGAATATTCTATAGAAGTTCTATGAATATTTCATGGAATTTTGTCAATTCGGAATGTGTATAATATTCCCGAAATATTCTAATAAATGTAGTACATTTGGAAAATGCGTGGAATGTTTTATAAATATTCTGATAAATGTGGAATATTTAGAATATTCGTAGAACATTCTGCAAATATTTGTAAAATATTTATAGTATGTGCTATAAACATTTTGAAAAATTTTCTAAAATTTACTATGAATATTTTGATAGTATTCTACAAACATTCCGATGAACATGAATATTCAGAATATAAATAGAAATATTTTTTAGATATTAATGAAATATTGCTGGAACATTCTATACACATTTTAGAAAAATATAGAAAACCTTCTGATTGTTCTATAAATATTTGATGAATATTCTTGGAACATTCTATTAATATTGTAGAAACTTTATTGTTTTCCACAATATTAATAGAATGTTCCAAGAATATTCTTCAAATATTTATAGAACATTCAGAAGGTTTTCTATATTTTTCTAAAATGTGTCTAGAATGTTCCAGCAATATTCCATTAATATCTAAAAAATATTCCATTTATATTCTGAATATTATGTTCATCGGAATGTTAGTAGAATATTATCAAAATATTCATAGCAAGTTCTAAAAAATTTTTCCAAATATTCATAGCACATACTATAAATATTTTAAAAATATTTGCAGAATGTTCTATGAATATTCTAAATATTCTATATTTATCAGAATATTTATAAAACATTCCACGCATTTTCTAAATATACTACATTTGTTAGAATATTTCAGGAATATTATATACACATTCCGAATTGACAAAATTCCATGAAATATTCATAGAACTTCTATAGAATATTTTGAATGACCCATGGAATATTAGGATATTCATATAATGTTTATAGCACATTCATAGAAAATTCTTTGCTGTATGGGAAACGTCTAAAATTGGGGCATAAAACGTCTTAAAGGAGTCATTAAGATGTATTTTAGACATCATATTAAATATGTCTTTAAGACGTCAATAAAATATCTTTAAGACGTCTTATGTCCCATTTTTAGACATATATTAATGTTGTTTGGGATATTTATATCATATTGCCGATTCTGCTAACATTTTTGCTATCTGGGTATATATATATATTTTTTTTTTATTAATTTATATACGCGGATATATTTTTTATTTAAAATTTATATGGATAAAGTGTAGACACATGCATCACAAATAATGTTTTAGATTTGACTACAACAAAAGCGGATGTAAGCACGGACATGAACCACTTGGCTATTTTATCGACATCGAAAATGAATTTGGTCATGTAGTTCCAGTCCGGCGTAAAATGGATGTACGTGACGCTGTGTCATAATCACGTTTCATTTTTTCGCGTGGATCATCGAGAATATTTGTACATTTCTTTTCCTTCGTCAATCTTCATCCTACAATAAAATGACGTGAGTATAAAGAATCCTACCAGATATTAGCAATCGTTTATACAATTTTGTCGTCTCATGGCAAGCAAATGTATTGAATTGCGATTGTTAAGGGGATCCTAAATGATGTTTTTTACCGACCGAATGCGAGAATATTTATTTTTTTCATATAACTTTTATTGACTATACTGATCAATAATCCTTTTCCACGATTAAGTACTTATAAAAACGGACCGCGCTAGCTATTTTGCATATATAAATCATATAAAAATCAAAAATTACAGTTTTGTTATCGGCTGCTTTCTGTCAGTTCGTAATAATACTTATTTAATAAAAAAGTTTTGCAGTTTGTCTGTGCATGAAATATAGTATGCGCGGTAAGGATTATATGAAGAAATATTAGTAAGCAATTAAAAGTGAGATTGCAAGTCTAATAAAAATTATATATAAAAAAACATTCACGCATATGTGTGTGTGCAAATTGAGGCTGCGGAATAAAACAGAGCAGTAGATTAGTTGCGTGATATCGTGATAGATGGAGCTGCAACGTGTTTCTCTCTCTCTCTCTCTTCTCTCGCTCTCCTCTCTTTTCTGTTTTTATAAGGTCTGTTCGTTTTTGGCTACACTGGCCACATTAGTTCAGAGGTTGTCTTTTTTGTTCGACATTGGAAGGAAAAAGATAACCTCTGAATTAGTGTAGCCAATGTATGCCATTATATATTTTATGTTTGATAATTAAATAATACATCAATTTTTTTCTATAAAAAACTATATATAAAACAGAAAAAATTTTGTGTTATTTATATTATCAAACACATAAATATATAATGACATACAATTTTATTTTAATTATATTGTATAATACAATAATATTCACATGATTTTTATAGATAATAAGTAATATCATTTATAATTTATAAAAACTAATCTTATTTTTCATACTCGAAGTAATTCGAGTAATGATTTTACTGAAATATATATTTGATAGACATTGTGATTCGAACGAATTTTATTTGTCGCATATACCTGTAAATGTTATAAAATTACTTTTACTGTAATGTAGATAAATTGTATGCAATTATAAAACAAAAAGAGAGAGACAGAGAAGAGAGAGAGAGAAGAGAGAGCGAGCTTTTTTTTTCCCGAAAATAGAGACATTCAATGCAAACGGTGAATTGTATATCTCTTTACGACACGTACAGCGGGGAAAAATTTTTTATATATAATTATATAAAATAATTGTATAATATACATATAATTTTGCGATTATATGTATAAAATTATACAATTATTTTAATATAATTATATATAAAAAAATTTTTCCCGGGTTGTATGTGTCGTAAGGAAATATATGTATAATTGATCGTTTGCATTGAATGTCACTATTTTCTGAAAAGTAAAAAAGAGAGCTCTCTCTCTCTCTCTCTCTCTCTCTCTCTTTCTTGATCCTTTATGCTTATTGTTAGTATTCTATCAATTAGTAATCAATGCAATCAATCATATCGTTTTACGGCAACAGCCAGTTACTCGTTCACTCACTCATTCATTCTTTTAAAATATGTCCATTTTTATACATAATTATGTAAATTTATATAAAAAAATAAGGGTGCATATATAATCATGTCAAATTTGTATAAAAAACATATTATATATATATATAAAGAAATATAAATTTAACATATATAAGATAGGCAATAAGAGCCAAATCGCGGATGACAGTGCGTTATTCTAAACGAAACTAAATTTTTTCGTTAGAATTAAATACCTGTGCACAAGGCACCAAATTTTTACTTGGACACGGCCAAGATATAAAATTGGAATAATCTCTACAAGAGATTTTTAATTCCATGTATCCCCTATTCCCCCTAAAGAAATAAAGTGCGAGAGAAAAATATAGATCCGAAAGTCGCAGAATCGGGAATCGAACCCGAGACCTTTCGCTTGCCGGGCGACTGCTCTTCCAACTGAGCTATTCAGATCCTTTCGATTCTATACTTTTCTCTGTTATATATATTAATGTTGGTAAATAAACGCCTTTAAGCCAGCGTGTATAAATTAAGAGTTTAACTAGGCTCTGTAATATATAAATATAAATTTAACATATATAAGATAGGCAATAAGAGCCAAATCGCGGATGACAGTGCGTTATTCTAAACGAAACTAAATTTTTTCGTTAGAATTAAATACCTGTGCACAAGGCACCAAATTTTTACTTGGACACGGCCAAGATATAAAATTGGAATAATCTCTACAAGAGATTTTTAATTCCATGTATCCCCTATTCCCCCTAAAGAAATAAAGTGCGAGAGAAAAATATAGATCCGAAAGTCGCAGAATCGGGAATCGAACCCGAGACCTTTCGCTTGCCGGGCGACTGCTCTTCCAACTGAGCTATTCAGATCCTTTCGATTCTATACTTTTCTCTGTTATATATATTAATGTTGGTAAATAAACGCCTTTAAGCCAGCGTGTATAAATTAAGAGTTTAACTAGGCTCTGTAATATATAAATATAAATTTAACATATATAAGATAGGCAATAAGAGCCAAATCGCGGATGACAGTGCGTTATTCTAAACGAAACTAAATTTTTTCGTTAGAATTAAATACCTGTGCACAAGGCACCAAATTTTTACTTGGACACGGCCAAGATATAAAATTGGAATAATCTCTACAAGAGATTTTTAATTCCATGTATCCCCTATTCCCCCTAAAGAAATAAAGTGCGAGAGAAAAATATAGATCCGAAAGTCGCAGAATCGGGAATCGAACCCGAGACCTTTCGCTTGCCGGGCGACTGCTCTTCCAACTGAGCTATTCAGATCCTTTCGATTCTATACTTTTCTCTGTTATATATATTAATGTTGGTAAATAAACGCCTTTAAGCCAGCGTGTATAAATTAAGAGTTTAACTAGGCTCTGTAATATATAAATATAAATTTAACATATATAAGATAGGCAATAAGAGCCAAATCGCGGATGACAGTGCGTTATTCTAAACGAAACTAAATTTTTTCGTTAGAATTAAATACCTGTGCACAAGGCACCAAATTTTTACTTGGACACGGCCAAGATATAAAATTGGAATAATCTCTACAAGAGATTTTTAATTCCATGTATCCCCTATTCCCCCTAAAGAAATAAAGTGCGAGAGAAAAATATAGATCCGAAAGTCGCAGAATCGGGAATCGAACCCGAGACCTTTCGCTTGCCGGGCGACTGCTCTTCCAACTGAGCTATTCAGATCCTTTCGATTCTATACTTTTCTCTGTTATATATATTAATGTTGGTAAATAAACGCCTTTAAGCCAGCGTGTATAAATTAAGAGTTTAACTAGGCTCTGTAATATATAAATATAAATTTAACATATATAAGATAGGCAATAAGAGCCAAATCGCGGATGACAGTGCGTTATTCTAAACGAAACTAAATTTTTTCGTTAGAATTAAATACCTGTGCACAAGGCACCAAATTTTTACTTGGACACGGCCAAGATATAAAATTGGAATAATCTCTACAAGAGATTTTTAATTCCATGTATCCCCTATTCCCCCTAAAGAAATAAAGTGCGAGAGAAAAATATAGATCCGAAAGTCGCAGAATCGGGAATCGAACCCGAGACCTTTCGCTTGCCGGGCGACTGCTCTTCCAACTGAGCTATTCAGATCCTTTCGATTCTATACTTTTCTCTGTTATATATATTAATGTTGGTAAATAAACGCCTTTAAGCCAGCGTGTATAAATTAAGAGTTTAACTAGGCTCTGTAATATATAAATATAAATTTAACATATATAAGATAGGCAATAAGAGCCAAATCGCGGATGACAGTGCGTTATTCTAAACGAAACTAAATTTTTTCGTTAGAATTAAATACCTGTGCACAAGGCACCAAATTTTTACTTGGACACGGCCAAGATATAAAATTGGAATAATCTCTACAAGAGATTTTTAATTCCATGTATCCCCTATTCCCCCTAAAGAAATAAAGTGCGAGAGAAAAATATAGATCCGAAAGTCGCAGAATCGGGAATCGAACCCGAGACCTTTCGCTTGCCGGGCGACTGCTCTTCCAACTGAGCTATTCAGATCCTTTCGATTCTATACTTTTCTCTGTTATATATATTAATGTTGGTAAATAAACGCCTTTAAGCCAGCGTGTATAAATTAAGAGTTTAACTAGGCTCTGTAATATATAAATATAAATTTAACATATATATTTTTCTCTCGCACTTTATTTCTTTAGGGGGAATAGGGGATACATGGAATTAAAAATCTCTTGTAGAGATTATTCCAATTTTATATCTTGGCCGTGTCCAAGTAAAAATTTGGTGCCTTGTGCACAGGTATTTAATTCTAACGAAAAAATTTAGTTTCGTTTAGAATAACGCACTGTCATCCGCGATTTGGCTCTTATTGCCTATCTTATATATGTTAAATTTATATTTATATATTACAGAGCCTAGTTAAACTCTTAATTTATACACGCTGGCTTAAAGGCGTTTATTTACCAACATTAATATATATAACAGAGAAAAGTATAGAATCGAAAGGATCTGAATAGCTCAGTTGGAAGAGCAGTCGCCCGGCAAGCGAAAGGTCTCGGGTTCGATTCCCGATTCTGCGACTTTCGGATCTATATTTTTCTCTCGCACTTTATTTCTTTAGGGGGAATAGGGGATACATGGAATTAAAAATCTCTTGTAGAGATTATTCCAATTTTATATCTTGGCCGTGTCCAAGTAAAAATTTGGTGCCTTGTGCACAGGTATTTAATTCTAACGAAAAAATTTAGTTTCGTTTAGAATAACGCACTGTCATCCGCGATTTGGCTCTTATTGCCTATCTTATATATGTTAAATTTATATTTATATATTACAGAGCCTAGTTAAACTCTTAATTTATACACGCTGGCTTAAAGGCGTTTATTTACCAACATTAATATATATAACAGAGAAAAGTATAGAATCGAAAGGATCTGAATAGCTCAGTTGGAAGAGCAGTCGCCCGGCAAGCGAAAGGT